CGGGATGCCGAAGCGAAACCAGGAAGAAGTAAACGCTCTAGGGAAGCAGGCAAAGCTAGAAAGGGAAGAGAAAGATGGGGGAGGAAGAGAAAGGGGCGGAGGAGGAGGGAACCGCAGGCTATGGGAGGAGAGGAAAGAAGGGGGCCGGGAGGGTTGGCGGACGAGCCCCCTGCAAGAGCTGCCCCGGTAACCGCTGCGTCCTCCGCGGCCCGGCGCTCGCCTGGGCCGCCGACGCGGGAGGTCAATAGGAAGGGACCCGTGCACGCAGACATTGGTCAGCTGGGGAGAGGCCGCGCGAACATTGGACAACGTAAGGGGGCCGGACTGCCTTCAGGAATGTACTACGGCGCGTCCGGCACGTCCGTCCGCGCCGGCGGGGAGTGCGCCTCGCCTAGGCTCGGGGGAGGCCTGGCCGGAGGTGCGGAGCCAGCCGGTGCGCTCTGCCTTCCTACCGCCCTTCCTACCTGCTTGGCCTGGCCGCGCGGCCGTGGGGAGTCCCGCAGCCCGGACGGGCGCGTACCCGGGAGCACCCGGACACCCGCGCGTGCACAGGCCTCCTGGCCGCAGAGGCCGCGGATAGCGCCTGGCCCGGCCCAGGGTCACGTGGCCGCGCAGACTCCGCCTTCTTCCCCGCTCCTCCCCCTTTCCCTCCATCTGGGTTTCTTTTTTTCCTTTCTTTCTTCTTTTTTTTCAATGAACACACACCGTGTGCATCTTAAAGCTACACTGCTCCATATCATGGTTGCAATCGACTCATCGCTGCCGCGGGTCCTTTTGCAGTTCAACCCCGTTTTAGAAAAAATATAAATTTATTTTTAAATGAGGCAGAATCGAGGGTTTGTGGGTCTGGTCTCTACCGCAGGGAGGAACTTAATAACTTGCAAAAGTAAGAAAAACAAATTCCACTCCCCAAACACAATTTTTTGTAAACTAAAAAGCACAGCTGTATAGACAGTATAATTTATCTCTGGCCCCAGGATCCACCCCAAAGCATCCCGAGTTTTTTTGCCCCACAGGAAGCGAATCCCCGGGATGTCTTGGTGACACTGGCTGCAGTGTCGGGACAAGTCCTCGCAATCAGCACACAATTTGTTTCGAATGAATCCAACATCAAAGCCTTTATTCTCCCCTACGTCATGCTATTATTAAATACAACAGGATGCGTACCGGTTTTTGTTAAAAAAAAAAAAAAAGCGTTTAAAACTGACTTTAAATAAATAAGGACATGTGGTTAATAAAAAAGGGAGGCATTCAAAGGAAACAAAAATAAGCTGGAAAACCTTTCTTTCTCAAAGAAACAAGTCTGTTTCTCCGGGCTGTTGAAAGGATTCTGTTGTTTCTCTTTTACTTATGTCACATCTAAGATTCAAATAAAAACGCCTCTGCCTTCACGAGCCTGCTTCGGTGTCTGGATTCTGCGTTTATAGAACACTGAGTCCTTCAAACTGGTTGTGCGGTCGTGTTTTGTTTTTTTTTTTGGGGGGGGGCAGAAGGTTGGCGGGCGGACTTCAAAAGGGGTGGCTTTTCCCTACGTCCTTGCTTTCCTCTTTAACTTTCCATTTTGTTTATCTTAATGCAAGGCGTTGTTCCCTGCGACAGCACAACTCTTCCCTTTAGTTATAAAAGAAAAGAGAGGAGGAAAAAAAAAAATCTGGCACACACTGGCGCACTATCCACCACCCAGTCATTATTGGTGCAGGCCTGGGAATTCAAGCCGGACCTCCCAGTATTTGCCGCAGCTTGACGCCAAGGTGCCTCTGAAAGGGTTTTCTTTGAGGAATTTCAGAAATTGTTTAAGCGCTTGAAAAAATATAACGTTTTTTTCCGTGTCTATCGCGAAGCAAATGCTCGTGTGTGTGGGTCTGTGTGTAAGTGTGTGGGTCTGTGCGCGCAAAAGGCGTCTCACAAAAAGAAGACACTGTTGGAAAGGAATAAGAAAGAAAGGGGGGGAGCATTCCTTAATGGAAGTATTGCATGCGAGAGGGTTGGCGCTCTTGGAGGCTCCCCCCGAAGCCGGGGATGCACACACTGGGGTTGCCTACCTGGGTGGTCTCTCTACTTTGGTGAGCTGTTGCTAAGCAGCTAATAATAGTCATGTTTGCTGAGTAATTTCTGCCCTCCGCGAGCCAATCGCGTCGCAGAAACCCAAGCCATCTGACAGCCCCGGGGGCGGGAGCTCCAGCCTTTTTCTCTTTCGCTCGCTCTCTCCCCCTCCACCCCCTCCCCTCCTCCTCCTCTTTCTCCAAATGGAGAGAGTTCTTTTTTTTCTTCTTCCATCTCATCTATTGAATCAAGGAGCTGCTACGGCCGCTACCCGCTGCACACACACAGAGCGGAGTCCCCAGGTCCCGGGAGCGAGAGAGGCGCGCTGCACGGGGGCAGAATGGTCCAGCGGGTCGGCGAGGAGCACAAGAAAGCTGAGTCCGGGACCGAGCAGCTACCGCGAACCCAGCAGCCAGAACCCAAGCAGCCAGAGCAGCAGCTTCAGGAGCCGCCACCGCCAGCAGCAGCAGCAGCGACCGCGGGAGCAGCAGCAGCGGCGGCGACGGCGGCGGCGGCGGCTGCCCCGGCCCGGCAGCGTTGAGACCCGCCGGGCACCCTCAGACCCCGCAGCGGCGGCTCTGCGCTTGCCCTCTGCGGCAGCTCGGGCGACCCGGGAAGCGCCGAGGGAGCCAGCGCGGCCGGCAGGAGCGGCGGGGATTTGCTCGCGCTTTCTGCAGTGAAGGGGTCGGGGCGCGGGGCGGGGGGCGGGTAGGGGTACTTGAGGGTCGCGAGGAACCGCCGAGCGAGCGCGCAAGGGACAGGCTCGCCTCGCGCGCCGGCTCTCGCCCTCCCGCGAACTGGATGTGGGCAGCGGCGGCCGGAGAGACTTCGGGACCCCCGCGCAATGTGGCAATGGAAGGCGCAGGGTCTGACTCCCCGGCAGCGGCCGCGGCCGCAGCAGCAGCAGCGCCCGCCGTGTGAGCAGCAGCAGCAGCAGCAGATCTGTCAGCCGGAGCCCGAGCCCGAGTCGCAGCAGCCCGCGGCCAGCAGCGTCCTCGTGAGCCGAGCGCCCGGGCGCACCCGGAGCCCGCAGCGGCGGC